ATCCCGTAGGAAACCTTGTTTCCTACAAAGATGCAAGTAAACCTTGTTCCTTCACACAGGATCAACATTTACAACTTACCATTACAGCCATGGACCCTTCCGGCTTGTAAGGGCATGTGATGCATGTAATCTCCTTCACCCTATCGAAGCAAATATCTGAAGTTTGCTTCAACACCTTTATTGTTTTCTTAAAGAAATTTTCTTCAGTTTCCTCCAGAATACGAGGAACCGCTGCCTACATCACATGTAAAAACAACATAGGTGACGTTTGATACTAGATCCAACACTTACAGATTCATGTTGAAATTAGCTTCTGCAAGAAACCATCATGCTGACTTAACATATTCAAGCATAGTTAAAAAGAAAGTTGCATACTTGGATAAATGTCGAAGGTCCTCCTAATATGTCAAAGTACTTTTTGATTCGCTCCACCATCTGAGGGAACATCAGAAAGACCATTTGATCCAGAGCAAAGTGATATTGGAAACAGAAAGGGAGGGAAGAAACTAGGGAGCCAGGTAACTGACCTTTGGTTTTCTAAAAGAGCCAGAGGGATCACAAGTGACAAACCAACCGAGTCGCCACCCTGGCACGATCCATCTCTTCGACAGAGAGCCAAGCGTGAGAACAGGCACGGTGGATCCAAAAACTCCCATGGGGACAAATGGGTTACGCCCGAAGGCAAGATGCCCATACACTTCATCAGCAATTACGAGTATCTTGAGCCTCTCAGCAGTTTCAGCAATCTATATCAGTTGACAAATAACAAACATGAGAGCTGGTTTGATTGATCATTTACCTACTGAATGTTCCCAATATGCTATGATTTTTTTTCTTCTTCTTTACCTCTTTCAGATGTTGATAAGAGTAGACATTCCCACAAGGGTTCCCAGGGTTGATCACCACCATTGCGACAGTATTTTGATCAGCAAGGGCTTCAACTCCAGCAAGATCAACCTTCCAGCCATTCTGTGGCAAGAGATCGAAGTGTCGAACTTCGAGCCCCCTGAAGGCTGCACAGAGTTCATAGATAGGGAAACCTGGTCTTGGAAGCAATATGTTCGAACCAGGGCGAGCAAGCATTGCTAGTGCCACGTCGATGGCTTGTGTGCATCCAGACGTGACGAAGACATCATCCGAAGATAGATCATAAGGAAGATCGCCAGATAGGTACTCTGCAATCGCCCTGTGTAAAATAAAAAACAGCAAAAGAAACTGCTCTCATTTGAACCAATCCATTAAAAGACCATTACAAAATTCACATTGCAAAGGAGCTGCGTCTGAAAGTCATTTCTTCGTACCAGTTTCCCCTTATTAGGGGAGAATCCAGTTCAGTTAAATAGGAGCTCCAGTTTCTGGATTTCAATTTCAATCCAGTCTTTTGGAACAAAAGCACTGCTCTCAAATGACCAACCCGTCAAAAGATCAGCATGTAATTCTCATTGCAAAAGGAATGAATCCTTCTGGTTTCTAATGCAAAATCAATGGAAAAAACATATCTCTTTAACGAATTCATCCTTAACCAGGGAGAACCCAGTTCATTTTACAATCACCAAATTCGGTATATTCCAGCGCAAGTGCTAGTCTATCAAGTGAGACTTTTAAAAAAGGGTGAAACGGGTTCTAACTTCTAACACAACCAAAACTGCAGAAGGTTATTATGAAAAGTGAAATTGGTGCAAAAGCTCTCTAATTTCAGATACCCAAATGGGGAAAACCGAAACCCAAATCTTGGAATCTGTTTTTGCCTACCTTCGAGTCTGGGGGAGTCCGACAGTTGGGGAGTAGCCATTGAACCTGTGAGAGTGAAGAGCCTCCGCCACAGCATGAGAAGCAACAGGAGGAGCCTGGAAGCAAGAGTAAGCAGAAGGGTCGCCCATTCCCAGCGAAATCACACTCTTCTTCTTCATGTCGTCGTCGTCGTCGATGCTCTGCATCAACAGGCTCAGTATCCCTTTGATGGTGATGTTCGCTGGAGCCTCCATGGCCTTGGGAAGAAATTGGGAAGTGGTAGTTAAACTGCACCCAAGAGAAAGCGATCTGGGAAATGGAATGGTGGATGGGGGTTTAGCACAGTTACAGGTGGGCGGGAGTTTTACCTGGCATTTAAGCACCACACAAGATGATGGATGCAGTGAGTGAGTCAAGTTTGGCGGTCGCGTGTCCTTTGCCTAAGCTTTTGCATGGGCTGAAGTGGGAACAATTGGCAGTTTTATGGCCTCTCTTCCTTCCCCAGATAAACGACAATACTGAACTTCTTCGGTTTTTGTTGCGACGCTCAATTTGCTTTGGGGAAGTCATTGTAGTTAAGTGACCATCTTTTCTTTCTTCTCTCTAGTTTAGTGTCTATTCCATTCCATCTCAAAAGGTTTAGCTTAGCTGCAAATTTCCAAAGAGCACACGCTTCAAATTATGTAATTTGTGAAGATAAAAAAAAGGGGGGGGGGGGGGGGAAGGTTTGTTTCCTATGAGGACGATTGAGGAGGGTGATTGGTTAACGGTTGTCCACGAAGGGAGCGGAGATTGGGCCTTGGGCTCTAAACGGGCCTGGGGCATCGTAGATCATGGATCATGGGCCTTCACAACGCTGTTTCCATTAAATTTTGACTTCAAAATATTGTGAAATCTTCCAAGTCTAGTTGGAAAATGATCTTATCCATCACTTTCTTTTCCTTCCAAATAATCTTGATAAATCCATATCACATCTCAAGAGAAGGAGGAAACGAAGATGTATGCAGATGAATACGTAGTAACTTAAACACTCAAAGGACGAATCACTATGCTACCATACGAGGTATAAATCAGTGAAATCGCTTTCGTTAGACATGCAATAAGCCATTTATAAATACGAATTTTCTACATTGACTGTGAATTCTCTATACTACATACAGAAACCTGTAATTGAAAGTTGAAATAATAATTAAAAAAAAGGGTAAAAGAAGAAAATGGAAACCATATGGAACATACCTCCACGAAAACGCCCAATTTGTGACACGTAGATCTTGGTAGCTGGTAGAGGATGATCAAAATCGATTTGGGGCTCTCTCCCTCCTTGTATATATATGTAATTGTATGGGTGGATTGGAGTTGGAGATAAGATAAGGTCAATGATTCAGCAGAGTTCTTCTCTTTTGTTTGGGGTTTTTTTTTTTTTTTTTTTTTGTCATGAGTCTCACATGATGGGCTTTGGGTTGGGAGGGACGTGTCTTGTTAGTAGAATGAATATTTCTTCCATACGTCTCTCCAACTAGTCTGAAGTCGAAAGTAAAATTATCAAATTGTACAAATATTTTATATTTCGATTTCGTCCAATAATTCAATTCATTAGAATTCAATATCCAAACGGGTCATCAATCACCAATGATGTTTAAGTTGTCATTAAGCATTTTAGTGAGATATAGCCTTCCAAGTTCGGCCAAATTGCCTCGAGTGAACACTCAGTCTCTTAGGTTTTGACTAGGCCGACTTTGTCAATCTTCTAATCAACGATGAATCAATAAATTATCGTTAGACGAAGTAAAACACTTAGTAACCATCCGTATTTCTGATTCATTCAACCGACCAGAGTCAAACTGAACCTAATAATTCGTTGTTGTTATAACTATACATATTCGAAAAGCTAGAATGTCGATCTGTGTGGAAACATAAATATTTTCCCCAAAATGCAGAGCAAAACAAACAAATTTCTTGCCACCTTGGTTTGTATTCTAGACAAGATAAAACGTGGGGCAGTCCAATATACGATGAACATATAGATCCATAAAATCGGTCCAAACCGAACCAACCGTGAGGCCATAGGGTTAGAAAATATATGGGTGGGCTAGAATTTTTTTATTGTCACTTGTTAACGTTGTTGGGTGGACGCGATTTTGGTTTCGACAAGTCTGGAGAAACCCAATATGTATCTTTTACCCATATAATTCTTGCACAACCCACTTTATACCCAATATATATTACCGTTAAACTTTGGTTAACCATTATCCGAGCCCAACATACATATTGTTTAAGATGTTATAGTGAAAGACATGATAATCCCCAAGTTATGTTCCTTGATATAATGAAGACGAGGTCATGCCTAACCGTTAGCATGTAAGGCTTACTATGTCAGTGATATTATAGTGAATTCTAATTACTTTCTGATTTGAAAGAAACATATATAAAAATTGAATGTTAGGTTCTTTAATTACCTCCCAAGTAAATAGTTACAAATTTTATATAAAATCCTAATCAATAGGAAGAAATAACATAACTCTTGAATGCAGGGGCCGAGCTACTTGGAGGGTAGGGTGGGCCTTGGCCCCCGGGATTAGTCCGGGCCCCTAGAACCTTAAAGATATTTAGATAAAATTTGAATAAGTAGGACTCGGCCCGAACATTAGTTCATACAATTATCATGTAGTCTACTGATTGCTAATCTAGTTTCTCACATTTTGTTTTATTTTGAGTGATTTCAATAATTTTTAGACTATATTGAAAGAAAGGTAGCAAAACATTTAGTTTAGATGCTATTTTGAGTGATTTTTCAATGATTTCAAAGAACGTTGTATACTATTAAAATAATCATCTTATTTTTGTTTACATTTAATTATCTTCAGCCCACCCGGTGTAGAAATCCGGGCTCCGCCCCTGATTGAATGTTATTGTTTGACCCTGTAATTTCTTCACCCAAACCGACCCAAAATCAATTGCTCCCATAAGATAATTAAATTTGGGTAATGTAACATTTCAAACCGTAAATAACGGTCGGTTAACTAGTAAATGCATAAAACTTACTCACCCGACCCACATACACCCCTACTCCGGTATGGTTGGAAATACAAGATACAAATATTAATGAGTTCGGTCGAACCAAATCCCTAGCTAGCAACGTTCCCCAAAGAGCAAAGAAAGAAGGAACACTAGATAACACACTAGTGATGACTTTAGCCACTGACACTGCATATAACATCATCATCGATCAACTCAAGTCGTCGATGTAGCAAATCACACCAAGTAGTCATTAAAGGAAAGAAAAACAAAGTCCAAGGAAATCAAACGACAAGACAATTCATGGAAATTACAAACACCACCACCCATTCCCATTACATCAAACATTACATAGGAGGAAGACATGAGAGACGAGACAACACCCTTCCCCCACCCAATCCCATCCATCTGTAGCAACCACCACTACTCTTCAAATTAATAAATCCCATGGATGGAATTATTCAACACGTTCACTACTTTTCACAAACCCTAGCCTCCACAGCTACACTGTCTACTAGGCTACTACTACATAAACCCTACGAAACCCTAATCATCATCAAACAGACAAAACGCTTTTATTTATTAGAATAGCTAATATTGTTTAATGATGATGATGATGAGGATCAGTAGGTCCACATGCAATCAAGCTCCGAGGCGGTGGCGACCTTCCCTTCCTCCATCCAGCTCATCATCCCACCGCCACCAAACGACGGCGGTGGGACGACAGCCGCGGCAGAGGTGGCCGGAGGAGGGAAGAAGAGGTGGTGAGGGAGCGGGAGGTTCAGATTCTCCTGCAGAGATCTCAGGCTGGGGAAAGCCGAAGTAGTCGAGGAGAGAACGTTCCTCTGGTAGTGATGATGATGATGATGATCAGGCGCCATCATCAGCCCGTTGTTGTTGAACATCGTCGTCATCATCTGTTGGTGGTGGTGGTGATCGGATGCGGCGGCCGCCGCAACGGTGGTTGTAGTACTATTGGTACCAGTGGAGAAACAGGACACGTGCTGCTGCTGGTGGTGGCGCCCACCGCCGTAGGAGTAGCTGTCGGCGGTGGTGGGGTCGAGGAGAGCAGGGAGGTGCGAGACGGCGGAGGGCGGCGAGCTCACCTCCTGGTAAGCGCTGCTGCCGCTGCTCATCGCCGCGGCGCTGGAGCGCGGCTTCTTGGCGGAGGAGGCGGCGGCGCTGTTGTTGTTGCTCGCCGTGCAGCCGTTCCCGCCAGCACCCACGCCGGACTTCTGAAACACTCGGGAGATCACCCACTCGTCCTATTTCGATCAAAATGAGAGAGTTAAAACTTCAAAACATCATTAGCGAGAGTCGGAAAAGGACAAGGAAGATGAAAACAAAAAAAGGCACAGGCGAGCCTATACATAGCTATAGCTAGGGCAATGTGAAGTGTAGTTAGCTAGCTATGGTGAAAGAGATAATGATGATTGGTGACGATGGCAAATGGGATATGCAATTATTTCAAAAAAGGACCCCCGAGATCTCATCTCCGATCTCATCATCTCCCCTTTTTTCCAGTTTCCACCCATGAAAAATGGTACACTTATTAGTACTCTAGCATAACATAAATGTTGCTGCGAAATAATGCTGTGATCGAACTCTGAACTACGTCGTTCGTAGTTTCCAGGAAGGAAGGAGTAATCACTTTCGGAACCCAATAATGGAATGGAAACATCATATCATTAACTATCAAAAGCCGGCCGCACCCTCACTTATTCTCAGTACTCCTCTAGTTAAAAAGAAGAGTGTAGTAGTAGTACCAATAATATATAGCTCCTTATTATCACCCTTCTCATACAAACAATAATAATAAATAAAAGCATTGATGATCCCCTGGTGAATAACGGTAAAGCCAAGATATCACCCCGTTCGTACAGTTCCTTTTTAATTTTCATTATTTTTTGTTGGGTAATTTTGGTTTTGCTTGTTGGGATGGAGCAAGTAAGGCGAGGAAAACACGGTTTGCCAGTGACAAAAAACAACACAGAAAACCACGTAGTTAGAACTTAGAGAAGGGAAGAAATATGGGACCTTGGAGGAGCGGGAGAGGTAGTGGTAGGCGAACTTGCCGTCGAGGCGGTACTCGTGCATAACCCAGTTGCTCTTCTCCCCCTTGGGAGCTCTACCGCGGTAGAAAACGAGCGTCTTCTTCATGCCGACGAGGGCGGAGGTTTTGGTGCTGTAGATCTCCCTGTCTTTCCCCGTGGCCTTCCAGTAGCCGGCCTCGGTGGCGCGGTTGGTGCGGAGGCCGGTGGGGTACTTGCGGTCGCGGAGGCTGAAGAAGTACCACTCCTTTTCACCCATCTTGGCCTTCTCCGGGAGGTGCCACGGCTCGCACTTGTTGAGGTCGACCTCGGCGATGGCGCGGCCGGAGAAGGTGGAGTCCATCACCTTTTTCAGGAGGTAGTAGGTGATGAGCTCCTCGTCGGTCGGGTGGAAGCGGAAGCCTGGTGGGAGGAGCTGCTGCGAAGCGGCGGCGGTGGTGGTGGTGGTGGTGTAGTTAGGGTTGTAGTTGTTGTTGTCGGCGGCGGCGGCGGCAGTGTAGCGGTGGGTGATGGTGGTGGTGTGAGGGAAGCAGTCGAGTAGGAGCTGGGGGTCCATGGTGGGAAGGGAGAAGGCGGGGAGGATGGGAAATGAGAGGGATAGGATGGATGGAGTGGAGGAAATGAAGGGGAAAGGGAGGTTTAAAAGAGTGGAGAGTGAAAGGAAGGAAGGTGATTTAAATTTAACGGGGAAAAAAAAGAAGAAGAAAAAAGTGCATTCATGTGTGGGGTGGGGTAGTAGTGTTGTCAAGTGTAGTCAAGATGGCTGGTTAATTGGATCGGGTTCGATCAAAGTCGGTGCTGAAAATGAATCATAGAATCGTAGAGTTATTATGTGTTCGAATCGTTAGTTGGTTAAAACCGTAGAAGTATTCAATGGTCCGAATTGATGTATCGGTTTTTCGGGTTTAAATATTGCGTTTTTACTCTCTTCCAATCTCCGTTATGGAAAGTGATGTTAATCGTTGTACGGTACTTTAAAAAATTACATTCAAGGTATTAAAATTATAAATTATTATTTATTACTATATAAACAATACGCATATATGTATATATTATGTATTAACGGTTTACATCGATCAAGCCCTGATCTTGCCAATGATCTTCAAACCGTTTACTTTACTGGTTCAATGGTTTAAATCGGTTTGACGGTTTTAATTTGGAGGTGTGAATTTATATTACATATGCTAAATTTTTGTGGGTGACTAGTGAATGAGTTTTGGAGGTGTGAATTTATAACAAGTCTCCTACCCAATATATCATGTCCATATTTCAACTCTAGAATAAGAGTGAGTGTACATCTCTAGTGTATCATGTGTGTCCTTATGTGTAGAAGTCAAATTTTATATCATTGGATTTGTTCTTTGTATTTCATATCAAGATGTGTTGTCTTGCACCAACTCTCCTTGCCCAAACATAACTCAACTCACCCCCAACATTGATTCATCCTGTGCAACATGAGATGGGTCTATTTGCAATTCTCAATGTATGTGCACTTTTTTTTATTTTTCTCCCCATGCATTACTAGTTCGAATGAGTCTACTACGTACTCATTGATTCTGATTTAGACGAAACACTTGTTGATGATGGTTAGTGATGATGGAAATGACTATTTGGTTGGTCATTTCAACTTCAAGTGCCTGAAATTTATCAATATCGTATGACTTCACCATGTAATTATGTGATCAGCGCCCTTGGGTTAGGATATCAGGGAGGAAAAGAAAGAAATCTCTGAAATGAAATCTGCTGCTTTGCTTCCCACTGTCGTGTTCTGCTGCTTCTTCTTCTTCTGGTGAGTGGTGGTGTGTGGGGATATCATATGGATCTGCTGGCAGAGAGAAAGAGAAAGAGAAAGAGAAAGAGAAAGAGAAAGAGAGGCCTCTTCTGCATTCTGAAATGAAATCTGAACCGAGCGGCTCTGTCCTATTCCCTCCCACAGCCTTTTCATTTTTTTCACCTTTTCTTGTTGGCAATTCTATTCTATTGGGTAATGGCAAATTTATCTTCTTGGTTTCCAATGGAGCGAGGTGGGTCAGGGTCAGGGGAAGTATAGGGAGTAGGGGAGTGATGTATGAAAGGCTGTCTGTGGCGTTTTGTTTTTGCAACAAAGAGAGAGAAGAGAAGAGTGCACCTGCAACGCCACAGATTGCAGAGAGAGAGAGATGGAGAGAGATAGGATTTTTGCGTGCGTGCGTGAGGAAGTGTGCAGCAGAGGGCCAGACCAGAACCAGAGATTCAGAGAGAGAGAGAGAGAATAGATTGTTTTTGTTTTTACTTATTATTATTATTATTACCTTTTCTTCTTCTGCTTCTTCTTCCTCAGCCTTCTTCTCAATCCTGCTGGCAGGCAGGCTGGGCTGGCTGCTGCTTCACTAGTCAGTCTCAGTTGAAGTAAAAAATTCACTCACACAGTAATATAGCAAAAGTCAGTTTATTTTGATTGATTTAAGTAACCATATATGATATACTCATTTACGGGTGGTTTGATTTTGGTGATGGCTGAATTGATACATTGTAAACCATACAAGTGTAATATTTTATATATATGGTGGCGTATTCGGTGCACTCACTTTTTCGGGTGCACTCAGTGCACTCGCCTCATAATTGTCATTCTGAGCATGCGATTCATGTCAAAACGGTATCAATTGTTGCTTATGATATTATGAACAAGAAGCACATTAATTTGAAAAAAATTCATTCAAAATTTACTTTAATTCGAAGAATTTAGAATTTAGGAATTTAGGGTTAGGGTTTAGGTTTACAATTTGGGATTTTGGGTTGGAATTAAAAATTGAAGGTTAAGGGGTTAGCGTAATAGATTTATTTGTTATGATTCTATGTTATATCATCATAATAGATTGGGAGTACTAATTAAAGTTCAAAATTTGATGTATTACATACACTTTAGAGTTGGGTGCACTGAGTACACAAAAAAAGTGAGTGCACCGAAGTAGCCACCTATATATATATATATATATATATATATATGGTGACTACTTCGGTGCACTCACAAAAATGAGTGCGTTCAATGCACCCAACTCAAAAACTAGTCTTAAGGTGTCAGATTTTGAATTTTAATTTGTAGAATTACTGTAATATGATGATATAACATATGATAACAACTAATTAGCGGATTACACTAAGCCCTAGACCTCCAATTTTGATATCTATCCCTAAACCCCAAATTGTTAACTCTAACCCTAATCCTAAATCTCTAAACTCTAAATCCTTCAAATAAAAGTAAATCTTTAATGGTTTTTTGTGCAAATTCATGTGCATTATTGTTCATCACATCATAAGTGATGATTGACATCATTTTGACATAAATCGCATGTTTAAAATGACGGTTATGAAGCGAGTGCACTAAATGCACCCAAAAAAGTGAGTGCACCGAAGACATCACCTATATGGTGGCGTCTTCAGTGCACTCACTTTTTTGGGTGCGTTCAGTGCACTCACTTCATAACCATCATTTTAAACATGCGATTTATGTAAAAATTATGTCAATCATCACTTGTGATGTGATGAACAATAACGCACATGAATTTGCACAAAAACCATTGAAGATTTACTTTAATTTGAAGGATTTAGAGTTTAGAGATTTAGGGTTAGGGTTAGGGTTTACAATTTGGGGTTTGTGATAGAACTCAAAATTGGAGGTCTAAGGCTTAGGGTAATCGGCTAATTAGTTGTTATCATATGTTATATCATCATATTACACTGATTCTACAAATTAAAATTCAACATCCGACACCTTAAGACTAATTTTTGAGTTGGGTGCATTGAACGCACCCATTTTTGTGAGTGCACCGAAGTAGTCACCATATATATATATATTAAGAAAATTAATATATAATATTTTACATTATTTCATTATGATGATAATTATTGTAGTATTTAAGAATATTATGTTACTTTTGGAGAGAAATAGAAGTTTTACCTTTTGTTTTTTAATGTAAGATAACAAACCATATAAAAAAGTTGGGGGTATAGTTGGAATAAATAAAGCACCTAACAATGTATTCTCAATAATCTCAATTTTTTTAGTAGACATATTACTATCACTTATTTTGAGTGATATTTTTTTTTTCCACATCAACACAACAATGGTAGAATTATTAAAGTATAAATTAAAAATAATTATGCATTATGAACAATGCACACACGGTAACAATCACGCCTAAACTATCAACTAAACCAAACAACCCCAACAAACAAAAAGTCCACACCCTATAGCATCAAGGTTGTCAATCCACAGGTTGACCCCTCACACGGTGAGGAAAATGAGGGACACACACTTGTGGGTCGTCGACCCTTAGCAAGGTTCCCAGGTTGGATATCAGTTACACGATGTTGTTTTTCCTTTTGGTTTGCGAAATGCGACTCTTTTTCGGGTTTCCCATTCTCCTAACCCTATCTTGAGAATTCTAAGTTGAACTTTGAATATTTATAGTATGCGTGTGTCTTTGAATTTTCGCTATACATTGGATCCAAGTACGAAATGCTGCTTTGGTGTAATGTCGTATGTTATTTACCCATATGTTGTATGATGATTGATACAGTATAAAAATGCACGAACAATATAATGAAGTTTTCATATACTCGAGCTAAATTGGACCAAAACAATCAGACCATTGACCCACAACCCACTTGCCGGATCGGGCCAACAGGCTAAACTCGACTTACAACATCAATAAAGAAAAATACTATTTGTCGACCGTCATGCTCTTCCTTCAATATTCGTGTTTGCAATGGATTTTATCATCATTTCCTGCCTTATCTTAAATCAAATTCAAATGATTTTATAACACTACCGATTTCATCGGGTCAACCTTCTTATAAATATCGAGATTGAAACTACGGGGAAAAAAAAGTATTATGATTACCGCGTGACCGGGGAGAACCAGAAGTTATGAATTGGACTAAACTAGAGGAGTTGTGACAAATCAAAATGTGACCCTAGCTAGCATGCATCAATTGCAAAGAAGATTTTCCACCCCACTGATTCCGGCCGGCCGGGGGTTACATACAACAAAAAGGAACAATTGACTAATGCAGAAGTTCATAAAAGCAGGGTATCCCAAACGGAAACAACTTTGTCCTGGCCCGGTTTGTTTGGTTGGAATTTGGACTCTCTCTGGCTGTGAAACTGTGAATCAAGCCAAGGTTCGTAGGGTCCAACGGTGGGAATTGAGTAGTTTTTGTTTGTGCATGGAGAAATAGCCATGGCAGGGCAGCAGAGCACGCGCTACCTCCTCCTTCCTACTCCTACCTGCACAAACAAAATATGGGTGGTAATTATAAGCAGTTTGGGGATCCCTTGATGATGATGATGGTTTGGGAGTCCATGGCCATATCTTCATTTCTCATGATGATCATGACGACGATGCTCTCTCTCTCTCTCTCTCTCTCTCTCTCTCTCTCTGGCTAGCTTCCCAGCCAGGCCAGCAGCTGATGATGGCGATGATGATGCATATCTGATCTCAGGATAACGATAATCATCATGATACTTATAGAGAGCTGAAAGAGAAACATCCAAACCCACAACCTTAGAAAGCTGGCCTTTGGATCCTACACAAATAGAAACTCAACTTCCTCGTTTTCTTTCTCTCTTCCTGGGTTTTCCTTTAC